CCCCATTCAGCAACAGGGCGAACCGCGGCGAACGTGGCTGGAAAACCAGGAAGGAAGGATGCCCGGGACGCGGTCCGCCCCGCAGCAGGGCCGGCTGTCCTCTCACAGCCTGGGGTCGGGAGGCCCCGCGCGCAACGGCCATGACCTTCCCGGGAATCCTTCCCTCCGCGTCCAGACCCCGGCCACCTGCGGGCACGCGAGTGGTTTTAATTTGCAGGCCCGCGTCAGCTCCGGGCTCAAGGGGGAAAGTTTCCCCTAAGAGGAAACTGAGCAGAGAGGTTCAGCGGGCGCAGGACGCAACGCTCCCTCCGGGACCAGCGGCCGGCGCGTCCTCAGCGCCGGCCCAGGTCGGACGCTGGGGCAGCGGGGGGCGCTGGGAGAGACGCCTGGGATCTGTCGTGTGTGCGCTTGGGAGCAGACACTAGACAGCCTGGCGGGCGGGCGGGCGCGCACCCAGCGGCCCTACAGCCGACCCCGCCGTTCGGGCTCGTCCGCCCGATGGACTCCGACCCGGGAAAGTTCCCGCGGCGACGCCCGGCGCAAGGGCGCCGGGGAAGCAGGCCCGTCAGCAGCGCGCGGCCCGTGCCCCGGCCCTCGCTCGCTCGGCTTCCCTGCCTCCCTTCCTCCCTGGCTCCGCCGCCGCGTCTTGGCGTCTCCTTCCTTTCTTACGAAAACACTGGCGACGGGTGGCCGGGGCCTTTGCGTGCGAGCGTGGCCGTACATTCAGAGTTGGGGGCCCCGGGGCCTCCCCGCGCGCCGAGCCAGGGCCAGGCCCGCAAGCGCGGCGGCGAGGAGACGCCGTCTCCGGGAGGGGCGCCCAGCCGCGCCCCGGCGAGCTTACCTTCCGCAGCCCTCCCCGTGCCGAACTCCTTCAGTTTGTCCTTGTCGCTGTCCACGTGGTCCTTAAACAGATGCACCGGGCAGTGGCCGCTGCCCTCCGTAAGGTCCTGGAGGCTGGACTCCGAGCTCCCCAGCTCCCGGGAGCGCGCCAGTCCGCTTTCCAAAACTTCCCTGTACGTGATCGAATCCTTCTTGCCGCCGCCGCCGCCGCCGCCGCCACCGCCGCCTTCCTTGCTTTTCTGGTCAAAAGATTTGGATACAAAAGCCGTGAGTTCCTCCATGGCTGCCCGGGGGCTGCGGGGTCCGCGGGGGGCGCGGCGGGGCTGGCCGGGAGCCGGGCTGAGGTCCGCACGCCTCCCCGCGCGGAGAGGACTGTCCGTGTGAGGGTAGATCCCTTCTGGTGTTATTTATGCCTTTCAACTTGAGATCTCACTATTTATACACCGCTACCTCGGCCCAGCCCCCCGCGCTCCCTGTCTACAGCAATTAGGGCGCCCGGATCGGCGGCGGGCGCACGCAGAGACGCTATCTCTCCCCCACCTCCAGTCCGGCAATTGGCTTTCTTCTCATTTCATCACTGTTTGGCGTCTGTGCACCTCGGTGTGGGGACCTAGAGATCCAATTTTTGCAGGGAGAGGGAGAGAGCGCGCGCGCGCGGGCGGGCGCAGGCGCCGGCGCCCCAAACAGGTACCCGCATCCCCTCAATGGCTGGCGGAAACGAAACTCGAGGAGGAGTTTACGGATGGTCGGGAGGTCCCCGCCGGCCCCGCGCCCCCGGAACGCGTCTCCGCAGGATGGGTCCGCGCG